GTCCCAGCAACAACCCCTCCTACCACTAGCAAATGGAGATGTAGAGGGGTGTTGCAATGCACTCCTTGTTATCCGCCTGTCTCGTCGTCTTCGCCCTTCCGTGTTGAGGCGGTGACGAAAAGTGATGGTGCGTTGCCTTTTTGCGCGTTGCAACAGCAAAACAAGGAGGAGATTTCTCATTTGGGTATCATAGGATAGGGCGTGAAGGGGTACCGCAATCCGTCCGCCGACGTGCTGACACCTCACTGAGGGTGAATTGGCATTAAATGTGTCTTACACAAATTTTTGTTCACATGCATTTCCGTGCCAAGGCACAAAATACGACACACATACACAAGGAAATTTGTGTGTACACAATTTATGTTTTTCGGAGTCGCCCAATAGTGCAGTGGTAAGTTGCTTGTACAGTACCTAGTGTCTAGGTGACAAATGGCCTCATATGAGGCCATTTGACCTCATATGAGGTCACTTTTCAACTTAATTTTTCTCGACTTGTGCGAGCTGAACAAAATGGAAAAAGATACTCTCGCCACCGCAGTTGACTTCTGCGCTTTGGAAGGGTGGAGCTTGGTGAGATCTGCACGTCCTTTCCAGGCTTTTTGAGAATACCTAAAGAAGAAGCTTTTTTAAAGAACATCAAAACGTTTTTTTGTTGATATCTTCGAAACCAAAACGCCTGTTTAAAATATCATCCGATTGTTGAAACTATATTAGATTCTTAGTATTTCTGTGTATTCATAACTGCTATCCCGATGTTTTGCAGGAAGCTATTACCGAGGGAATATTGGTTAAAGAAATGGTGTCTAAACTGATTTTATAAAATTTCGATTTAATGTATACATTTTTGCAAAAAAAAACCCGGCCTCATATGAGGCCAAGCCTGACCTCATATGAGGCAAATTGCCGGTCGTCTAGACACTAGACGGGTAGCGAAAGGCGCTATGTTTTGCTTGCCGCGAGCAACTAGATACATACAGTATGCAGAAGCAAAAGACGGGTTGAGAGTTTTTCTGGCATTGCTCAATGCAAGAGTTTTTATGGCATTTCTCTATGCAAGTTAAAACGTTTTCCACAACAGTGGCGGCAGCGGGCGGGGGGGTGTTGTGTGAAGGGTGTTGAAAAGCGAGCAGGGGCAGCAGGACGGAAGCGCAACCGGGGGGCGTTGGCAGTCGAGGAAGCGAGGCGTATCGAACAGAGCGAGCGGGATTAATCGGTATATTAAGTCTGCGGCGGCCCCACGCGCGTGCGCGGCCGTC